GCCTAGGAAAGATTGGTGTCTAGTCCTCCTTCAGCTTCTGTTGTCCTGAAACCCAAGTGTGGTGCTGGGGCTAGAGAACCATCTACCTCTCCAGTGTATGGACCTGCTTAAATCTACACATCAACAAAGTCTGGACTGTTCAAGTTGTGATGCTTTGCAAAATGGATACTGAACATACGAACAACAGATTCAAAGCATTAATAATAGATTCAAATGTGTTTAATGATAAGTATGCTCACAGAAGACTAAATGCCTATCTGACATTATTGGGAAAGAGGCAGGCTGCAAATGCTCACATTTGAAGTGTTTAATGCTTTCTTCATATGATGTGACAATAAAAGGAAGAAGAGAACAGAAAGAAAGACAAAGAGACAGAGATGGGAAGAGACAAAAAGGGAGAGGGAGTGTGAGGAAGTAGAGAAATGTGGAGAGAACTGGTGCTACATAGGAAAGCTTTAATGTTTTACACCATGAAAATCTCTACAAGCATTCCCTCTGCCAGAAGAAGAAATGTGAGATCCTCACTCTCAGATTTGTATTTGAGAGTCTTGTATTTGAGAGTCCTTTGCAAACAGGGAAGAAAAATTATATGGACCTTTTTATGCTTCTTTGGACTAGTAATTTTGCTCATGCTTTTGGCTCATGAGTCTCTTCACCTGATAGCCTCCTCTGTCCTGAAGCTCTGTGAGTAGGTCAAATTCATCTCTCAAAGAAGACCTGACGTAACCCTTCTTCCAAAGACTCATCCTGGTGGCCTCTTCTGCAGAAGGAGCCATAACCTTGGCTATGAACAGTATTGCCAGCATATACTGAGAATAGTCTGGCATTTGCTTAAGAAAGGTGAGCCTGGGGCTAGACCTCCTCTTTCTATGCCTGCTGGGCCTTCACCTGCTCAGGTATGTGGTCCTTAAGTTATGAAGAATAAATGAATGTGGGAGATGTATTTACAGCCTCCTGCTTGGCACTAGAGCCTTCATTTTATGCACAATGAGTAAGTGTGGTTGGTAATTTGTCTTCTTAGCTCTGAAATCCAATCTAAGCCCAACCTAGGCAGGGTGACCTAGAGTCTTCTGGCTTCTTAACCCCCTTTGGACTCACAAAACACACAAAGTGGCTGTACTTAGTACTCACAATACTAGTAGAACTTACACAGCAGCAATAGGATCAAGCTACATCAACAATTTGTGCCAAAGGAGGCCTACCTTGGGCTCTTCTGAGTTATTTTGCTTTCCTTCTGATTTTTTCTTTATTCATATTTTAGAAAGTTCATGGTATCCTCCATAAAATGACCAAAATGAACTGAACTATGAAGACCTCTTCTATAACGTGAAGGTCAGCTGCTGTGGAAGGCTGCAGTGTGTGGTGTAGACGCGGTGTGAGCACCACTCCAACGCCTGTCTCATCTGAATCATTCAACCAATGGAGCACAGTTCCTTCCAGAAATTCTACCACAGCATGTCAATTCAGCTCACACTTAGGTTTTAATTGTTAAATCAGATTGTGCCTTTCATAAGTTCAGAAGCCCTCATAAACATTTGACAGACATGTACTTCTCCTTATAGATCTGCCAAGGATAGACAGAACAGAGCCATCTTTGGAATGAAGTAGATTTGACCTCAGACTATTATTAGTTCTTTGTTCCAGGAAAAGTACTAGATCTGAGTATATATACCACAACCCCTGTGCATTTTGCAGTAGCTGAGCGGTTGCATGACTAGCCTGGCACACCTGCATGGCTCCCGTTGATCGCTGCACCCCAATTGGTGCTCTCCAGCTGCTAATCCCAGCAAGCTTCTACTCAGGCCTCTCTCAGCCAGGCCAAGCTAGGTACAGAGGAAGCAGGGCCCCAGTTCCATCGTGTCAACTAGGTCTACTATTCCTTAGTCTTAACCACATCACTCGAGAACCCTAGACTGCCTAAATTTAGGGCACAAATACAGAGGCCAAAGCAAGACTGGAAATCCAGAAGTGCTTATAACACTTCTGGTGTAAGTTTCCTCAGAGTACGGAAACGATGGTAACACCAAGAGCTTGCTATCCAGACGGTGTCAATCAAGGCTCAGGTGTGCAGCGTTTCCCCAAGATATGTTGTGTACCTTGGAAATTCTCTGCAAACTGGGACAGCTGGTGGCCTCACTAAGTTTCTCCTCCCTAAGGCAAGGCTTCCCAGAACAGCAGGGAAGAGGGAGAATCTACCTTCTAGGCTGCAGGGCATGAGCTTGAAGCATGCCTGAGTTCCTCCTTGTGAACTCTGACCATGTCCTTTATGGAAACAGAGAAGTAATTTCTCTCTGCTCACTAAGAATGCCTATCTGTGAACATTTCTGTAATTGTAGGCATTGCCTCCGAAAGACTGAAAATGAAGCCAGTCTGACTTAGTACAGCAGTATGCACCACCCACTACCCCATATATCTGCCAACCAGGCCAATGCTGGAAACAAGTCTAGGGTAAGCATGAGCTAGTGACAAAGGTACAAACTGTGCTTTCATTTTTACCTTGGTTTCCAGTTTTCAGCAATGTCATTAAAGAACATGAAATCTCTTTAAAGCAAAAGATGAGACAGCTGAAGAAAGACCAAGTACTAAATACTCAAAACTATTTCTATTGAAACACATCCCCCAAAACAGGGGACTTTAGGCTGGATGTAGCCCCCTAGGCCGTCTTGCAGGCTTTCTTCATTTTCACTGGTAATCTGATTACGTGACCTTGGAAGCGGAGAAGGAAAAGGCACAGGCAGGAGCGGTTCCATGTCTTCATGATGCTCCTCTTGTTCAAACTCACGAGTCAAGAACAACTCAAAAGACACTTTATTTCTTTAACACAGAAAACAATATTCTGCAGTCCAGTTGCATGTAGCATGTGAAAAATTCTTTACGGAAACTTTGCTAACAACCACTTGTCCTAGATTTTTATGGCATTACCAATCATAACACACAAATGAACTCTGAACCTTTACTAAGGGCAGAATCCAATGAAGCCTCCTTCTTGTCAGCAACCCATGGTTGAATAGCCCTGTATATGACTAAACACACACACACACACACACACACACACACACACACACACACACACACACTCTCTCTCTCTCTCTCTCTGAGGAAACTTTCCAGATTCATGAACACCTTTCTGAACAATGCTGATCTTAATCCATGTACCAGTGATAAAGATCACCACCAAGTTATTTTCCTGCTTTACAGTCATTTTGTTTTCATCTATTTTATTAAGCCACATTGCTTACGTGCTGCTCTTTCATGGAAAAAAATAAAAGTTTTGCAACAGTAACCATTGCTCAGCCACAGAGGAAATGGTACAAGATTTTAATGCAGATGAAACTACAGCTGAATATTTGTCAAAGTCTCTCATCAAACAGGTGATTCAGGCTTAGAGAAGAATGTCCTACCCTTCCTCTCAAGAGGAAGCTAAGTCTGAATTTGAAGGGAAAGGAGAGGGAATTAACTTGCCTTTTCTGCATTCTGCAACACCCTATTCTTCAGGCCCCATCTTCTGTATTTCTTTCCAGAGTTCATGTCATCCTAATGCTTCTCTTACATTATACCACTACTGAAAGTACAAATAGTTCTGGAAGACTTTGATGGATTGGAAACCAATTTGTTTTCATATGCTTCATCTATTACAATGGTGAACATAGACCAGGATGCAGTTCATCCTATTCTGATAGTATAAAAGTAGAAAGGCTTTTTACTCAAAGCATCTACATACAAGATCAATGAGACCTCTACAAATAGAGGAACTGGGTATCTGCAGAGAACCTTTAAAAAGGTGTTGTCACCTTTGACATCTTTTTTAATTGAGAGCACTATAGTCACCAGCAAAACAGCAGCTTTTGCAGAGCAACAGTGGATGACATTTCCTCCAGCAGGAAACCTGCCATCTTGACACAGCAAGGGAGGCCCATCTGTTAGCCAACGAAGTTCACATAATGGGAAGCAATCAACACAGGACTGAACACTTGAGGAAATGACAAGCACTGCTCTTTACATACAGAGCATGAATTAAACAAAATACACAAAAAATGACAAAGGAGAAAACGATTTAGAAAAAACTTACAAAGGGAAAGCTACATGAAATAAAATAATTCTATCTGAAGATAGGTGACTATATCTACATATATATATGTAGATATGTCTGTGCGTATATCTTCCACCCTCAGGTCCTGGCCTGGGAGCTGTTTGTAAGCTCCTTTTGCTCAAAGCTAGAACTTTACCACTTGAGCTACAGTACCACTTCTTTTTCTGTGATTAATTACAGATAAGTGTCTCACAGACTTTCCTGCCCAGTCTGACTTCAAATTGCCTCCTGAGTTGCTAAGATTACATGTGTGAGCCATCAGCACTTGGCAAAAAATAAATATTTATGTAATTCAAATACTTCCTCTCAAGTAAAAGTTAGAAGTATAGCACAGGGGCTGGGGATGTGGCTTAGTGGTGGAGTGCTTGCCTAGCATGCACGAAGCCCTGGGGTTGATTCCCAAGTACCACATAAACAGAAAAAGCCAGAAGTGGTGCTATGGCTCAAGTGGTAGAGTGCTAGCCTTGAACAAAAGAAGCTCAGGGACAGTGCCCAAGCCCTGAGTTCAAGCTCCAGGACTGGCCAAAAAAAAAAAAAAAAGTACAGAACACATTTTAAACTAATGCATTAATGTTTCAAAATTAAATGGTTTATAAAATACCATTTCTTCCCATATTCTTCTCCCAAATAATTTTGCTCTTGGACAGATGTATATTGAGAAACAGTTATCTGGATGATGATTTTGAGGAGGTTATCACCAATACAAGATTTCAGTCAGAAGTTTCTGAATTTAAAATCCTTTACTGTGGGTATCATGGCAAGTTCAGAATCAGTGGTCCAGTTCCCTGATACACACAGATCCAAGGATACCCTGGCCCCCAGAGGCTGCTTCTTGCTTGAAACACATCTCTGCATTGGTGCCAAGTTGGGGCTGTAAAACTTGGCACCAAGCCAGGTAAGATCTTCTCACACACATCCCACCTTCTTTTGAGAAAGAAGACACCGTGGAGTGCATTCTATACCTGCTACTGCAGAATTCACAGCATTTTAAGATTCCTTGCCAACTCTCAAGTAACCATGTAGAAACATTAAAAAAATTCACTAAACACCTCAACTGTCATTTCTCTTTCAATGAGTATTTTCACATGGCTACAACCCAGCTGGGAGTGACATTAATTAAACAACCCTGTGATCTTCATGTGCTTTTGAAAGTGTTTTCTGACTCATTAAACAAAATAGTTGTACAGTTTGGGAATTAACTGCAGTTTACATTGTGCTGATGCCTGGAAATTAAGGTTTTCTATGGTGTGTGAATGCATGTATCTTTGCTAACCATAGCATTTAAAGAAAACACTTTTCATAGTTAAATAACTTTAAGTAGGGAAAATCAGCAAAATGAAAAAATACCATAGTATTCAAGATTCTTTTTGCTTTCCTTTAAAAAAGTCAATTTAGATATTGTCAAATGGCAGTGCAGTATGTATGTCAGCAACTAAGCCACAAAGGTACCTCTGAAAACTTTTCCAAAGACCTTTTCCTTCCATAACTTCCCAGTGGAACAGGAACCGGATACATTTTCACAAAAAATATTCCTCAGTGAATCCGCAGTTAGCAGTGGTAACTCAGCCAGTAGTTGGGGTGTGCCTTCCCATCTCCTCCATAGAACTTCAAACTCTTGGAAATCATGTAAACATTCTCAAGAAGTGGAATTTATTCCTGGAAAGTAGAAATTCGTGTTACTGGGCACATTGCATGAATGGCTGAAAGTCCCAAGTTCCCCACAGCTTTGTCATCAGGAAGGTTTGCTTCCAGAGGGGTAAAGAGAAAAATACTATGGCTCAGCACCCTTCTGCTACAGCAATTGTGCTACAGAGCTCAACATTTTTGTCTTTTGTTTTCTGATATTACTATGTTTTGAAATGTCTCTTTGTATTTGAAATTTTGAAGTCAGCTGATTTATGAAAGGGAAGTAAAGATCTGTTATCAGATGGAACAAATTTCTCTGCAGGCCTTTCTCTGGGTGTTTGATGTTCTGTCTCCAACTACTCATGGAGCAGTCCACTTCGAATGTGACAAGGCCAGTGCTAATTGTCCTAGCTAGAGCTGAGCAATAAAATAGAAAACATGGTAGGTAGTCCAATCAAATACTTGAGAATAAACAATCCATCTTTTCGAATACCAATATTTCCCAAAGCCCCAGGTGCTGACCAGGAAGTAGGGGATTGTGACCTTGTAATCCTTATCCACTTGTTTACTTTCACTGTGCTCTTGGTAACAACTGTACAGCTCCCCAAAGCACCAGCGAGGAAAGGAGCAAAGAGACTGGTGTCTCCCTTTAATGTCCACTACAGCAGTCTCCAGGAGTAAGACTCAAGTCTACCCTATTCTTACTGGGACTCCACAGTTACTCCTTTATCACAGGGGCATGTGGAGGGGCCTGTGAAAGTCTAAATATTTTTGTCTTAAGCAGTATTTCTAATTGTTCCAAAGGACAAGTCATCATTCTTTTATACCAGTGTTAAAACCAACAACTTATATATGATACAAAAGACCTTTGGGGAAGTATTATTATTTGATAAATATGAAGGTGCCTGAAAGCCAGCAAAATAAAAGAATAATTTTCATGAATTTAACTGTAGGAAAAAGATGATCAGATCGCCCACAGTAGGCTGTGTGCAGATTCTAGGAGTTGTTCTCGGGTGTTATTTTATCAGTATTCATTAACAAACATTTTTTCCACATGGAGTAAGAAACTTCTAATTAGTTCTGGTGGAATCATTTTAATTATTATAATTTATAAATCTAAGTTTGCTAAGGAGATGAAATCTCCACATACATTATATTTTATCCTTTGAGTTATAAAGCCCACTGATGTTCACTTCAAATTTTTGGAAATTTTCATAAAATTCTAAAATAAAACTCAAATTATACCAACACAACTGTCCTGGTAAACTAGAGAAGAAACAACTTGAATTCTCACTTCCAGATCTTGCAGGAACATGGAATGGTTTCAGAACCAGTGACCCCAAGGTTGGCAGCAGTGTGGCCACACTGCCCATGGCTGCAGGCTGGGATTGTGGGCTGCCTGTCTTGGCTTCTCAACTGGGGATCTTTTCAGAAGACACATGTCTTAGGAGGGGTGAAGGGGGCTGTGGCACTGAGCAGATATCAACCCAGTGAGGTAGAAAACACCCAGAGGACTCACTCACTTCTTCCTCACAACCCAAGAAGTACAACAGTTTCTAAGACTGCCTTGTAGGTCTTGGGGAATACTTCGTAAATACTTTGTGCTGGTGATTGCTAACACCATGTAAGAGCCAGGACGGGCCTATCTCTTGATCTGAATAATAATATACAATAGCTTAGAGGGCAAATGACATATCACCCACTTGGAACGAACAGGATAAAGCAGAGGGAGAACGAGGGTAAGACAGCAGTAAACCTCTGTCCTCATCTGTTCTCGCTGGGCAGTTTCCCATTCCTGTTCTCACTTTCCCTCTTGCTTCAATTCACTTCTACTTGTTACAAGGTGAAAGCTGTCACAGGTGAATCAACTTCTTACATTTTTCCTACGTCAAACCTAATGGCTTTGGGAAGGCCACTCTGCACATAAAGTCCTAAATTGTCTTTCAGGTTACTACTTAGACACTGGAGCACTGGAAATGAGGGAGAGAAGGAAGAGATCAGAGTAGCTGCTTTTACTTTTATGCTATTAGGTTTTATTTCAGTTTGATTATATGTCATCTTTTTTTTTCCTTATCAGTATTTACACCTCTAATTCTACTTAATGGATAGCTGGAGGGAGCTTTTTCCATAAATGTCCCTGCTCAACAATCCAATAATCAATGCTTTCCCTACCCCCAGGTTTTCTCTCCAGGTTCCAATATTAGACTACACATAAAAGGGTTGACTGCACAGAACATAGGAAGACTACACAATATCTGCCTATCCCCCTTCATTTTGTAGATAAAGAAGACCTGGCCTAAAGCCAGGAATCAAGTGTGCACAGGAGACAGCTCCTTTACAGCTTCCTGCTCACTCTGCTAGATCCTAGTCCCAAGACTGCAATCCCCCCACTTCCCCCAATCTCTCCTCCTCCGTGCCTGGTGCCACAGTGTCCGGGGGTGCTCAGCTTTCACACATGTCTGATCCTGAAGACAACTTGTAATTTGAAATAACATGGAGTGTTTTAAATGGTTTGATTTCTTATACATATTTGGGGTGGGTGAGTATAAAATGCAAATATTAATAAATTATAAGGAAGACATTAAGTCATGAGCCTTGCTATTTTCACCTCTTCAGTAAGGCCACTCAGAAGTTCTTAGGGTTTTTTTGTCTTGAGACACAAATTAGCTGAGTACAGGAATCTTGGTGGTTGTCCAGCTCCCCAGTCCGGTGCTATGTCTTCATTTGCTATCACAGTGGCAGATACAGCAAGTTGCTATTGAAGGGTGAAGGGGAAATAATGTTGCAGTGTTTAAATTCCTGGTTCTCAAAGAAAATCCTAAAAAAGTAAGTTATCTTCACCACATCCCAACTGCCCCACAGCAGAAGTAGAGGGTGGTTTACAGGGTTCGTTTCACAGGGAAACCCTCACTCAGCAGAAGGGCCTGAGGTCAGTACTTTGCTACTGGGAGTCCTGAGGGGAAAATTTTGGAAAGACAAATAAAGCCTAGACTATTGCCAGTGAGCACTGTTATTCATTAGTTCCCAGCACCCTAGCCTTCAAAGTCTGATACAATCTAGTCCCATTCCTTCGAAAAAACAAAACAAAACCCAAAAAGCTGAATCGGGAAGACAGATTGAATAAAAGTCAAATAAGCATCTTCTTTTGCGAAGTGGGGCGCGGGTTGTCAAAGGCACGGAGAAACCAGGGCTCCGAGACGATTTTCAACACAGGAAACGATACCATCAGAGAGGTAAACACAAGCTAGCAGCACAGACTCTTCTGAGATCTCCTGTTTCCACAATCATATGCCAGCCGAGAAAGTGGCAGCTTAGTGGCCTATCCGGAAAGTCAGGCGCAGCAGGTGAAAAGAGCTTTAGCCTCTGCGCCAATATTTGGTTTTGTGTTTTGTTCTCGCCCGTCCTGGGGCTTGAACTCAGGGCCTGAGCACTGTCCCTGGGATTCTTCTTGCTCAAAGCTAGCTCTCTACCACGGAGCCACCTTCCCAGCCCGGAACTGAATTTTAAGCACCGGTTAAGACTGCTTGTGCATGCACACGAGCACGCGGGGCACACGCGCGCGCCCCTCCGTCGCCGTCCCGGCACACACCCACCTCGGGTCCCGGCCTCCGCTGGCGCCGGGGTCACGAAGGCCCCTGCAGCCGCTGGCCGGGGGCCTCCTTGGCCCTCCGGCAGGTGTACAGCCACTTGATGATGCGGGCGTTCCTCTCCACCACCGAGGGCGCGCGGGGCGGCGGCGCCGGGAGCTCCTCCGCGGGCGGCCCGGCCTCGCTGCGCCGCGAGGAGCCGCTGTCGGAGGCGGCCAGGCTTACGCTCACGACGCGCGCCCCGGGGGCGGCGTGGTCGGAGCCCGCGGAGAAGTTCTCCCTCCCGAGGGCCTCCACCACCTCGGGGTCCAGGCCGCAGAACCTGAAGAAGGCGTCGGCGTCTCTCCCTGCGGCGGCCGGGGCCGGTGCGCTGGAGCCCAGGTCCGACTGCGAGCGCTGCAGGTCCCTGCGCTTCGCTGCCTGCCGCTCGGGGGCGGGGAGGGGGGCGGGGAGGGGGGCGGGGGCCCCGGCCGGCGCGGGGGGCGCGGGGGCCCGGGCCGGCAAGGAGGGCGCGGGGGCCCGGGCGGGCGTGGAGGGCGCGGGGGCCCGGGCGGGCGTGGGGGGCGCGGGGGCCGGGGCGGGGGGCGCGGGGGGCGCGGGGGCCGGGGTGGGGGGCGCGGGGGGCGCGGGGCGAGCGGGACGCGCGGTCTCCGGCGGCCCCCGCGCTGCGTCCCTGCCCGGCCCGCGGAGCAGCTTCTTCACCAGGCCCCCGGCGCTGTCGGCTCCGGCTCCGGCTCCGCGCACGAACGCGCACCTCTGCCTGTAGATCACCAGCGAGTCCGGCCTCAGCGGCTTTCGCGCCACGGCCCTGCGAGCCACCGGCGCGGGCGCCGCGGGGGGCGTGCGGGGCGCGGGCGCCGCACTGAGCCGCCCGCTGGCGGCCCCGGGGCGGCGGGCCTCGGGCGCCGGGGCCCCGCCGGGCGCGTGGGCCCCGGGCGCGAACTTGGCGCGGTCGGCGGCCAGCCTTTCCACCGCGCTCCCGCGCGCCGGACGCGCCGGCGGCGAGCGGAGGGTCCCTCCGGCGTCTCGGGGAGGCGGCCTCGGGCCGTGCGGCTCTCCTGCGGCCGGAAGGGCTCGCATCCCCGCCGAGCTCCGACCCGCCCCGTCCGTCCCCGGCGGGTGCCGAAGTCCGCGTCCCGCGAGGAGGCGCCGCCCAGGTCCGGCGCTGGGAACCGGGTCCCGGGCTCCGGTGAGTCACCCCGCGCGCGGCCGCCCGCCCCGCCCCGGCCCGCCCCGGCCCCGCCCCGGCCCCCTCCGGCTCCGGCTCCGGCTCCCCGCCCCTCCGCCCCACGTCCCCGGCGGCCCAGCCCAGGCCGGGAGTGCCGGCCTTTCTCGCCCACAGCCTGGGACGGGGGACGGGGCCCGCGCGCGGGCTTCCCCGGCCGCCCCCCGTCCTCGGGCGGGGACCGCGGGGCCGCCGCCGGGGACAGTGCCGCGGGCTCCGCGAGTTCGACGGTCCGGCTCCGGCTCCGCAGCCTCGGCCCGAGTGGAAACAGTGCCGAGGCTCGGGCGGCGCTCATCGGACAGAAGCACGCGGCGGCGGCGGCCCGGCTCGCACCCAGGGCCACGGCTCCCACCGAGGGTCACGGCTCGCACCCAGGGTCACGGCTCCCACCGAGGGTCACGGCTCCCTCCCAGGGTCATGGCTCCCACCGAGGGTCACGGCTCGCACCCAGGGTCACGGCTCCCACCCAGGGTCACGGCTCCCACCGAGGGTCACGGCTCCCTCCCAGGGTCATGGCTCCCTCCCAGGGGCACGGCTCCCACCGAGGGTCACGGCTCGCACTCAGGGTCACGGCTCCCTCCCAGAGTCACGGCTCCCACCGAGGGTCACGGCTCCCACCCAGGGTCACGGCTCCCACTCAAGGTCACAGCTCGCACTCAAGGTCACGGCCGGTCTGCCGGCGGGGTCTGCCGGACGCTCAAGCGCGCGCTAACCGTCACCGGGCGGTGAGGAGGCCGAGGGTCCCGGAGAAGACGACGCTTTTAGGAATAGAAAGTTAAACACATTTCCAAGATTGCATTCCTTCCAGAAACGGACGGAATAAGTAACCCTCTGCGGGCTCCCGCGGCCCGGGCGCCCAGCACGTCCACCGCCCGGAAATTCACCGGCCGGTAGATCACACGTGCGGGAGAGGCGAGACAACGGGAGACCCACGGGACCGGCCGGGGAGGAGACCCACGGGACCGGCCCCGGAGGAGACCCACGGGACCGGCCCCGGAGGAGACCCACGGGACCCGCCGGGGAGGAGACCCACGGGACCCGCCGGGGAGGAGACCCACGGGACCGGCCGGGGAGGAGACCCACGGGACCGGCCCGGAGGAGACCCACGGGACCGGCCGGGGAGGAGACCCACGGGACCCGCCGGGGAGGAGACCCACGGGACCCGCCGGGGAGGAGACCCACGGGACCGGCCCGGAGGAGACCCACGGGACCGGCCGGGGAGGAGACCCACGGGACCCGCCGGGGAGGAGACCCACGGGACCCGCCGGGGAGGAGACCCACGGGACCGGCCCCGGAGGAGACCCACGGGACCGGCCCCGGAGGAGACCCACGGGACCGGCCCGGAGGAGACCCACGGGACCCGCCGGGGAGGAGACCCACGGGACCGGCCCGGAGGAGACCCACGGGACCGGCCGGGGAGGAGACCCACGGGACCCGCCGGGGAGGAGACCCACGGGACCCGCCGGGGAGGAGACCCACGGGACCGGCCGGGGAGGAGACCCACGGGACCGGCCCGGAGGAGACCCACGGGACCCGCCGGGGAGGAGACCCACGGGACCGGCCGGGGAGGAGACCCACGGGACCGGCCCGGAGGAGACCCACGGGACCGGCCCGGGACGTTCTCCGAGGCCGAGGGGCCGCTCCCTCCCGCAGGGTGCTAGCGGCGAGCGGGTCCGGGCGGGCCTGTGCTTGGCCCAGGCCCGCTAAGTCACGGAAACGACCTTTGTCACCGTTCGGAGAGGAGGACTCCGCCGGGCCGCCGCGCCCCTGGCGTCTGGCGCCTGCGGGCAGCAGCAGCAGCTCCGAGAACCCCTCGCCGGCCGGCAGGGTGGAAGCCTGCGCCCACCGTTCCTAGGCGCTCTCCTTTGGAGAGACAGACGACTTCCCAAGGCCTTTGTCACCGGGGAGTGGGGCGGGGGGGGGGGGGGGGGGGAGGGAACACCTCTCTTTTTCTAACTTAGAGCTTCCATCGAGTCTTCGCGAGGGCCAGCGATGGGACCTGAGATGCCCAGGCTGTCATCGGGCTGTTTGCCGAGAACCTGGAACGGCCTCTGGACAGCACAGCGCACTGCACCACCTGCTCGAGTTCCCCAGTTAGGGAGATGGGTTAAAAGGGCTTAGCACTGCGTCGGCGTGGAACAAAAGTTGAATGAACGTGAACTTTTATTGTTTAGATGACAAATGCTTGTGAATTAATTGACTGTTTTACCTTTTAAATATGGTTGCTGAACTCACATACAAAACTTTGAGCATATTAAAATACTAACTTATAAATAAAAAATTTAAAGACATTGTTATTAGACAAAATTAATTACACTTATATTGATAATTTCCCATCATTTAAACAGACAATTCAATGGGAAATGGAGCTGGACTAGTAAGATACTGGCAGAGAACTATTTAAATAGACTTTTCTTATTGCTCAACTGGTAGTGTCAACTTTAAGCCTATTTGCCTCAGACTTGCTCAGACCAGGCAAATATGCTTAAGGGCTAAATGCTTTGGTAACTCTACTCTTAGAGACTTATCCTAATTTACTGTTTATGCACAGCAGCATGAGTCAGTCTGCATGCAGTGCCAGAAGGAAGGCTAGATAATGCATGACACAGAATGGGACTACTAGACCAGGGTTACAGTCACACTTCTGGGTGTTTTTTTTGGGGGGGGAGGTCTGGTTGTGGGACCAGAACTCTGGGCCTGGACACTGTCCCTCAGCTCTTCAGCTCAAGGCTAGCGTTCTACCACTTGAGCCACAGCTCCAATTCCGGCTTTTTTTCTTTTTGCTTATGTGCTGAGGAATCAAACCCAGGGCCTCAGGCATGCAAGGCAAGCGCTCTACCACTGAGCCACCTTCCCAGCCCCACTTCTGGGTGTTTGGTGGGGTAGGAAGTGACCACCCCGTAAGTGAAGCTTTAAAATATCACATAGAGCTGGGCACTGGTGGTTCACACCTGTAATCCTAGCTTCTCAGGAGGCCAAGATCTGAAGATTATAATTTGAATCCAGCCTGGACAGGGAAGCTTGTGAGATTCTTAACTTCACTACACTATCAGAATAGCTGGAAGTGGAGCTGTGGTTCAACTGGTAGAGCACTAGCCTTGAGCAAAAAAAGCTCAGGGATAGTGCCCAGGCCCTGAGTTCAAGCTCAGGACCATCACAGCACCCCTCAGCTATTGTCCAGGTCATCTCTGGGTCTTCAGGTGCTACTGGGAGTTATAAAGTCAAGACTTTTCATAACAATAGTCCATGTGCTTTTGCTTTCTCCTTCTCTTATAAGAACAGTATATAGTGGAATTGTCTACAGCATCCTATGATGTAATTCTTTACCATTTAGATCCAACAGCATGTTCATTAAAAGCATCTATCAATCTTCATCTTTATATAATAGCTATATATATATATATATATATATATATATGCTGTAAACAGTCTATTAAGGTCTTTAATAACTTTCAATTGTTCCAGAGTTACTCAGAATAAGCAGTTTACTAATCTCTGGAATATACCATAAAATAAACATTAAATATGCATATATAGAGGGAAATGGAAGGAAAAAACACATAACCTTTTTTCATTTATTCATTCAAGATACATTATTGGAGTCATAATTAGGGACTAAATGCCATCACACTTTCAAATATCCCTATTAGGAACAACTGAAAACTACTTAAGTCTGATTAAAGGTTTCTTTTTTTATTTTTTGGTCAATCATGGGGCTTTAACTCTGGGCTTAGGCCCTGTCCCTGCACTCTTCAGCTCAAGGCGAGTGCTCTACCCCTTGAGCCACAGTGCCACTTCCAGTTTTCTAGTGGTTTATTGGAGATAAGAGTCTCACGGACTTTGCTGCCTGGGCTGGCTTTGAACCTCGATCCTCAGATCTCAGCCTTCTGAGTAGCTAGGATTACAGGCATGAGCCACCAGCGCCCAGCTGATTAAAGGTTTCTATCTTTTCCTTCAGCATCTGTACTAATGGTGGAATTTGGAAGCATTCTCTAGAGATCTTAACAACATATGACATACATTATATCTATGTTAATCAAATATACTGGATATACTAGTTGATAAATGGTAAAAATAAAAAACTGAGTATAAGAACTAAAAAGGCAAAATTGGAGTCAAAATTACATTCAATGTACATTACATAAACATTGAAGTACATTAACTTGAAGGTACGGACGAGAGAGGAAAATGGGTGTGAATAATGGAAGGGGTGACATTAGTCAAGAGGCATTGTACCCATAACTTGACATGGAATTATAGCTTCTTTGTACAACTACTTAATAAAATTTTTTTTCTATTTTTTTTGGGGGGGGGTCCAGTCATGGGGCCTGAACTCTGGGCCTGGGCACTGTCTCTCAGCTCTTCAGCTCAAGGCTAGTGCTCTACCACTTGAGCCACAGCACCACTTCCGGCTTTTTTCTTATGTGGTGCTGAGGAATCGAACCCAGGGCCTCAGGCATGCAAGGCAAGCGCTCTACCACTGAGCCACCTTCCCAGCCACTTAATAACATTTTTGAAAGGTAAAATTGTCCTTATTTATATGAAAAATAACTATTTCAAAATGCCAAGAGAATCTCTCTAAAATCGTCATTTGAACTAACAGTTACACTGTAGCAAGATTATTGGACATGGAAAAATATACAAAATCAATAGTAGTCATATACCATCAATAATAAAAATATTATAGAAAAATATCAAGAAATAGTACTAAGAAACTCCATATGGTATCTGATAACATATTCCCCAAATTACCCAAAACTTGCTCTCAGAGTCTTATATTTTAAAAATATAATTGAAAACCTAAATAGAATCATAGCCTGTCATGTTTGTGGAAGTTCAGACTTGGTTTTATAAAGAACTCACAAAGCTGGGCAACAGTGGCTTACATCTGTAATCCTAACTACTCAGGAGGCTGAGCTCTGAGGATTGTGGTTCAAAGCCAACCCAGGCAGGAAATCTTCAGTTAACCACTTCCAGAAAACTGGAAGTAGTGCTGTGGCTCAAGTGGTAGAGCCCTGCCTTGAGCTGAAGAGCTGAGGTACAGCGCCCAGACCCAGAGTTCAAGACCCATGACTGACAAAAAAAAAAAAAAACTCATAAAATTCATCTCCTCAGCACCTCCAGGTCCTGTCATAGTAGGGACCAAGCTCCCAACACATGAGCCCTTGCAGACACACAAATGGTATCTGAATCATGATGTCTTCCAACCCCAATTATAGTAATGTGAAGTATTGCTCATGCAGCTAGTACATTAGAAGGGCAATGAGAATACTGAATTTATATATATATGGAATTAGATAAATATAGAAAACAATACTTGGTAGAGCATAAATTACAAAATATTATGGGCATTTCAATATCTAAATAAAAGGAATATGAGCATATATTATTTTCAATCTATAACTGAGGAGTTATATAAAAATATATGATATATCAAATTTGCCAGATTAGTTTCTTTTAGGGAACAGGGGAATGGGACACGGGCTTTGATTATAGCTACAATGTTTGTTTTCAGGGGAAAAAAGTTAAAATAAATAGCTGAAATCTCAGTTGATGTTGTTGTCTGAGCTGCAAAAAGGCATGTTGTTACATAGTTACTGTGGCGAGTGCAGTGAAATCACTGGTACATTTCAACAATGGGGTAGAGGTTCTGAAACTACTACGCTGGGGGGGTTGAGAGTGAACAGTAGAAGTTAGGGTAGAATCACTTTCTTAAGAATTTGACAGTGGAAAGCAGAACAATTACTTGAAAGGACAGACAAAGAAGCCAAAGGAGAAGCTTCCTTGCAGGGCGAGAGGCACATTTGTCAGCACCTAGACAGATGAACCTCTGTGTGCAGATCATTGCAAATCCCCGAGTTTAATGTGAAAGCTAAATTAAAGCTTAACAGAAAATTACTAAATTCTAATCCTTGAAGAATGAGATCTCTGTATTCTTTCATTCATGCTAAGTGATTTGGAAAATGACATTGTTGTTTAATTGCATTATTATGTTCTAGTTAAGGTAGCACAAACCTACGATACCAGGTTGCTAATGAAAAACAAATTCAAGATTTATTAGAATATTTAATAAATGATAAAACACTTCACATTTTGTAAAATGAAATATAAATTGTATTCTCCGTCAAAATCCACTTATTTTCAGTAGAATCATTGAACAAAAGTACTTGTTACTGTTTTTCTAAGTGGTCTTAAGGTAGGCTGACTGTAAGAAGAAGTATGACTGCAGTGCTGGGGATGCATGACTCTAACAAGGCCCTAGTTCAAACTCTAGTACTACCAAAAGATAAAGAAAAATGGTAAGTCGATTGCAGTTAGCCTGTTTGTCTACAATATTCCTGCTTATGCCTACTGCTCTAGAATAATTATTCATACTGCCTTTTTATTCTTACAACTATGTTGGTATGGATAGCGGTTTAATTAAACTGCCAGTTCTAACCAACTTTGTGGCTTTGTGCAGAGTAATTAACTTTTATGGACTCAATCTTCGATTTTAAAAATGGCATTTGACCTGCATCATACTTCATGTCTGAAAAGCTGTGATTGTGAAGATCTCCACTGGGTCTGATATTTTCACGCTATTTAAGTTCTCAGGAAAAAAATAAAAAACTTCTTTGCTAAAGAAATTAACATAAAGTCTTCCCTACAAGGAAATAAAAGT